TATATCTGCGATAGAGGACCAGACCCGCCCCCAAGTCGTCCCGAACTGGGAGGAAGGTACCCTCCCAGTGAGACATAAACAAATTAGCATAGCTGGGAGCGAATCTGGTCCCCATCGCAGAACCGACTAACTGTAAAAAAAAGGAACCATCGAACCAAAAAAAGTTGTTGGTAAGGATTAAATGGATACTGTCTATAATGAAGTTAATCTGGTTCTCAACAAACTTGTTACTGTGTGTCAAAAAATATTTAATAGCTTCACAGCCCAGTTCATGTGAAATGATAGTGTACAAACTGGTCACATCACATGTGACCAGAAAAAAATCTTCTTCCCATTGAATGTTCTGTAGGGTCTTCAATAACTGTGTGGAATCCCTAAGGTAGGTTGGTTGAGAAGTCACCAAAGGTTGGAGTTGTCTATCTATGTATTCAGATAGCCTACTCAAAAGGGATCCTACCCCGGATACTATGGGCCTTCCGGGAGGCTTCTTTATGTCCTTATGTATTTTTGGGAGAATGTAAAGAACTGGTATACGACATACCGATATATTTAAATATTTATATTCATGTTTGTTAAGAATCCCATCTTCCATACCTTTACTTAGTAGTGAAGTGTATTTCTTTCTTATTTCTGGGGTAGGGTCAGCTTTAAGTTTAACATAGGTGGAGGCATCATTGAGCTGTCTGTATACCTCTTCCATATAGTCCGCAACATTTAGCACAACGATGCCTCCACCCTTGTCTGCTGGCTTAATAATAATATTGTGATCTTGTTGAAGATCTCTTAGGGCTTTAGTTTGAGAATGATTTAGATTACTTTTTTTCTTTTTAGATATCTGTTTCACATCATTAGTGGAATAAAGTGTGCCATTTTAGAGAATCTATCAGTCACAGTCAAAATTACTGTCATTCCATCGGATGAAGGAAGATCCACAATAAAGTCCATGGATAAGTGGGTCCATGGTTTCTTGGGTACGGATAAAGGCATTAGGAGTCCCGGGGGTTTGACATTAGGGGACTTACACTGTGCACAAACACGACAAGCCTGCACATAATCCACCACGTCTTGCTTAAGTGAAGGCCACCAAAACTGTTGAAGGAGACCCTTGTATGTTTTGGTAACCCCTGGGTGGCCAGCCGTTTTGGCGGTGTGAAATAAAGCTAACAATTTCTTTCTATCTTTCTCTTTCACGTATAATCGACCAACAGGTGTCTCAGGGGGTGCTTGGGTTTGGTATGCCTTGATACCATCAAGGAAAAGAGACGAAATAACTAAACGGGTAGCAGCTATTATCTTAGACGTGGGTACAATGGGTTCAGGAGTGGGGGCGATAGACTCCAAAGGTTCGTATTGTCGGGAGATAGCATCAGCCTTGACATTACGGTACCCAGGCCTATATGTGATAATGAACTGAAAGCGTGAAAGAAATAAGGACCATCTGGCTTGACGAGAGGACAACCTTTTAGCATCAGCTATATAGGAGAGATTCTTATGATCAGTTATAACCAGGATTTTGTGTCTAGCTCCTTCTAATAAGTACCTCCACTCTTTAAATGCCATCACAATAG